GGCAAACGGAAGGTCTGTGCGCGGTTTGTACCGCACGCGCTGTCAGGCGATGAGAAACATGCCAGAGTGGAACGGAACACTGCAGAGACGTGTTACGGTCGGCCCAAAGTGATACAAAATTTACAAAATCGATTGTTACTGGTGACGAGACGTGGTGTTTTCAATATGAGCCTCTCACAAAGCGCAGAGTGTAGCGTGGTTGAGCCCAAAGAAGCCGAAACCAAAGAAAGTGCGCATGCAAAAGAGTCGAGTAAAGACACTGCTAACCGTTTTCTTCGATTCCGAAGGAACCATTCACAAGGACTTTCCGCCAGAAGGTCAAACAGTGAATTCTGATTATTATCTCGGAGTCCTCAATCGTTTGTGGGAGAGAATTCTTTGAATTCGACCTGAATATCGAGAGCAAGGTTCCTGGTCCCTCCTCAAAGTCAATGCCCCACCCCACAAATCAAAGATCGTGCGCGATGTTTTGGCCAGAAAAGGGATCACAGTCCTTGATGATCCTCCGTGTTCGCCAGATTTGGCTCCAGCAGATTCCTGGTTGTTCCCAAAAGTTAGGTTGGCGGTGAAAGGAAACCGTCACGACACCATCCAGGACATCCAAAGGGAATATCCCACAGTTTGAAATGCGATTCCACAAAAGGAGTAGAGTGACTGTTTTCGAAAACTTTTCAATCGATTCCAGCTGTGTATTGATTCACAAGGAGGCTATTTTGAATAAAAAGAGTGAAATCTTGAAAATAATTCACGTCTTGTATTTTTAATGAACACGGTCCTAACAGAATCTGGACACACTGTGCATCCTGTTTCACATTAATGTTGATTGTCGCAACGGTGACATTATATCAAGTAGTGACTTATGGACGTTGTTTTCATTGTGATTTAGTTTTTATTTCTTTTCAGTTTCTCCAATGAGACTGTTGCGCTGTTTGAGACTGATGTTTCATTTTCGGTATTTTTATTTTACGAATTTTCCTGTGTTTCACTGTTTAGCTTTCGTTGAATATCAGATTTTATACATTATATTACATACATGACTATCGTTTTACCACATTCTAGAACGCTTACATAGTCATCCAGTATTCCCAAGATTTTACCATGCCAGGACTTCGATGTTTGCTTGATTGATTCCTCCTGACGAGCTCTATAACACATAGTCTTGTTTTACGTTTGACGATACCTGCAAGCGCATTTTAAATGTTGCTTCCTTGCGTTCGACTGCGTCGGCTTTCAAAGCACTGAAGAAAATATACATGCGTAAACCTTTTTTCTTTCCTATTAAAATTAGAATGTGATTAAACTCGTCATAGAACATTCTGATTTCACGAGTAGAGACGCAGAAGATTGATTTTCATTCACAGCATCAAAATACAGCCGTTAAGTGCGTGAGGGAATGTTGAATATATTCAAGGCTATTAACAGGACTTTTCTTATGAACCAGTCTCAGGACTTGTGAAGAAAGGCTATTCAGTACTTTTGTAGTCCCATAACGCCAGGAGCGTAAGATTTCAAAATAGAGTTGTTCTTCATTATATCATATTTTAATATTGCACCCTTTTCCTGCTGGGTTTTGTTGTGACAATGGAAATCTTACCGTAATGTTGACACTTTTGTGTTAAAGTAACGTACTAAGATGACAACACTAGTTTAATATCTGACATCAGGTCTGAATGTCGTGTAATGTCGCAAAATTTTCACGTGACATGCATTGTAATTCACCAGAAATACAGTGTCCGTAATACTACGTGCTGGTATACGTTTTGAGATTTTTACGGCAATGACTGTGAAGACTCAGTTCTCAAGTTCAAATTTTCTTCCTGTGAGAACCACATACAATACCCCTGAATGGGGCAGTTTTTGTCCATTTTTTACAGAATTCCACTTCTCCTGGAAACAGCATTGAATCCCTGGGAAGGGCCGTTCTTCATCACTGTTCCATTTTCCACGCATTGAGCCCAATATAAGAATATTTGTATTTTCCCCTTCCATTTCTTACTAATGGCCCACGTTGGGTTTCTTTCTTTATCTCTTTCTCTTACGCCTGATGGACCACCTTCCTTATGACATGCCTACTCCTGAACCAACACACTTCATCCTCTAAAACAGATTCTTCATGTTCCTCCGAAACGTCGGTATCCTCCGACAAGACTGCTCAGTGTCACAACCCAGTAGACCACAATCTTAATACATGCAGGTGTTTCATAAAATGTAACATTTCGTAAACTCCATTAATTGTCATTTTGTGTAATTATATATCACTTCAAGTGAAGCCACCCTTCATCAGAAAATAATGTCATTTGCGGATCGAGCTTACCTTCGACGACAGACTGCAGAAACCAACTGCAAAAACTAACCCGGCTTAGCTGGATGGCGCGAATGCAAGGTGTGGATTACTGTTGCTTTATGCTGTCTAAGCTTCAGCATTTGTGTTGCCGTTGTTGCACTGGGCTTTGACAGTCCAGTCTCTTGAGTTAGACGTTTCAGTGATTTTCTAGGTGTTATGTTCAAGTCTGACCCCAGTGTCATCTAACTTCTCAGTATGCACTCGTCGCTTATGTTTTTGTTTCTTGTCTATTAAGAATTCCTTTGATCTAAGTTTATTCACCACATTGTGAATAGTTTGCTGGGAACTCTTTCATCACGAAATTTACTTTGAAATTTTCATCGACACTTTCTGGCAGATGCGTATTTTACGTAGGTAAACGTAAAAGGTAAAGTTCCCGTACTTAACTAATAACGCACTACGCCATGAAGGCGTATAGGGGAGTGGATGTGAAGATCCACATTTTCTTGACCTCGGCACTAGCTTCACTAGCGGCACTAGCACTAGCTTCACGTTACCCATTGAATAGGAGGTTGGGTGGACCCCAGAGCCGGTCTGGACGATTTGGAAGAGAGAAAATTCTTGACCCTACCGGGACTCGAACTCCAACCCGCCAACCATCCAGCCCTTAGCTAGTCGCTATACCATCCACGCTATCCCGGCTCCCATTTCACGTAGGTGTCATACAGAAATGCACGTTGCTCTAAAGTATACCGCACCATGATGGAACATGCTGCTGAATAATTGTAACTGAAGAAACGAATCATGAAGCTGATATCTGCCGTCCACTGCCGACAAATCCTAAACAAATTCCCACACGTGAACAGCACAGCTCGCTGTTAAACATAATGTCGTCAAGCGGTCCACAAAGTAAATAACTTCTCTTAATTTAAAACGTTATCGGCCATGAGGTGTACTGATTCACCGACAAAATTTGTGTGCGCCTCGCAGCCGGCGGTGCACCGGTCGACGTGATATCTCGATAACTATTGAAGCTACAGACTCCAATAAAAACGCAATTTGTTGTTCATGATATGGACTACAAATCATGTTATTACAAGTTTTTACTCAGCTCACTTTCTCTAGGTGTAATTAAACTTTAAAGTTACCTATCGATTTTGGGAAAAACGCAATTTTTGACCTTCAAAAACAAATGGGAGGGGGAAAGTATAGGATCTGTGATTTCTACCATTTGTTGTTACCTACATGGGTAACCTACATGAATCCCGTACCTAGTTCCAAAAATTTTCCAGGAGCTTCCAAACTTTGCTTTTGGCCCAAAATCGGCCATGTTTAACATCTCATATCTCCGTTGGGGAAGCTCCGAAAATTTTGAAATTGATAGCAAATAATGCTCTATTCTAGAGTAACTTGGAGTTGAAATTACAACTTTGTTATTCAATTAATAGCGAAGTTTTTATAATACGAAGAAACGCGTTTTCGGCTGAAATGGAGGTTTGCGTTATCTTCCATATCTCGATAACTGTTAAAGCTAGAGACTCCAATAAAAACGCATTTGTTCCTCATGATGTGGACTATAAATCATATTATTATAAGGTTTTTACTCAACTCGCTTCCTCTAGGTCTAATTAAGCTCGAAAATTACATATCGATTTTGGGAAAAAAACGCTATTTTTGACCTTCAAAAACCAATGGGAGCTGGAAATTTCAAACTTTGCTCTGGGCCCAAAGAACCGCCGATACCATTGGATGCAGGTAAGCCAATTATCGAGATATTGATTTCTTTGGTAAAATTCAAAGTGCCCACAACTTCGTTCTTATTTGAATATGAAAGTTGTAATTTTATCTCCAAGTTACTCTAGAATAGAGCATTATTTGCTATGAATTTCAAAATTTTCGGAGCTTCTCCACCGGAGATATGAGATGTTAAAAATGTTCGATTTGGTGCCCAGAGAATAATATGATTTGTAGTCCACATCATGGGGTACAAATTGCGTTTTTATTGGAGTCTCTAGCTTCACTAGTTATCGAGATATGGAAGATAACGCAAACCTCCATTTCAGCCGAAAACACGTTTTTTCGCATTATAAAAACTCCTGTACCAGGAGAACCGAGCAGATTACAATTTTTTTTTTAAAATATCTTTGTACTATGAAAATATGTATAACTAAGTGTACAAAATATAATTTTTTTTTTAAAAATGGTGAGCCACCTCTCTGGATGATTTCATGCGGAATTACCCTGAAGTTATTGTTACTGGGTGTATTTTATCCCCCGTTTATGGAAGAGGCAGTTGAAACCACACATTTTTGTTGTCTTGTAATTTTATCTATGACTTAATGACATAAAAGATAAAATTCACTTACATATACCTCTTAGCTTCATGTTGAAAATAATGTAAATTTGAAATTTTTGTTTATTTTAATAAGCTGTAACATGCTGATGAACAGAACAGTTTTGTCCCTATCAATTTAACTCCATTACCCAACAATTTAAAATTGTTTAGTTTATTCAGAACTGCATGGAACATTAGTGCAAGTATTTGTGTGTGTCTTTGAGACAATCAAAATAACAAATTTTGTGTTCCTTTCTTATTACATCATGATAACAGAGAACTTTGGATTTGTAAGTGACTTGTGGCTGACAACCCAAATCATAACTGCAGCACACTTGTACTGAATACAACATTTATATAAATGAAATTCATTTGTTACAGGAAGCATCAGTACGTGCCTTGAAGATGTCAGGGGGCAGGTTTGAAGCAGCTCTTGAATTTCTTCCAAAACAGCAGCAGACTGAACCTGTCAATGGAATATCTAAGGGGGCATCCTCTGGTAATTGTATAAATTTACTTCTCATAAACGAATGTGTGAACTCCGTCGAGCAGAGTGTCTTTGGCGAAGTAATAGTGTCTCAGCTACTCAAGAAATTATCTGGCTTTTGTGGAATATGCAGATACATCGCCTTGTTACAGTGTTTACAAGAGCCTGCATCTACGTGTAAAACAATTTACGCACTTACAGTTATTGCTGCCATAAATAACCTCCTTTGAGGCGATATGTCACCACTTCAGTGATAAATAAATGAAATGGATTCATTAACTTCTTGGTGCATCCTGGTTTGAGCTCTTGCCTTCTCTTATTGGAGTCTTCTAAATGCTTATTCTAACTGAAATTAAACTGCTTAGTTGGAGGATCAGAACATCATGGGACACAATAGAGAAGATACAAATTTCGATGTCCCGACAGGAATTTGAACCCATGATCCTAGTATTAAGTGACAAGGTTGTGAATGCCTTCAAATGTACAGAATGAATTGGATTACATGATTAATAGTAGCTTGCATGTGCAAAAAGCTTTAATTAGAACAAAATTTGAATTCAGAATTTCCATGCCGACCTTTATGATCAGAAGAAAGGGTTAAATAAATACTCCTGCATAGAAAGGAATGCCTCTTACCTTACATTTCCTGACAGCAAATCATCAAAGACTGATTCAGATCCAAGTAAACTAATTACTACTTTTCTGCATCTGATGATGTGGGATGAACAGAACTGTGGTCCCCTCATATGAGTTGTATGAATCATAAATTATGGACAGTATTTTTCTTAATTATAATGTGTAATATAAAATATAAGTATTCAAACAAACCATTGAAGAATGCGACAGTATTAGTTGTTATGTAAGCAGGCATGTTGCAAGGGATTTTTTCATATGAACTGAAATAACTAAAAGAAAAGAAAATTATTGGATGTGAAGATAAGAGGCTTGCATGCAGACTTTTTATTTACAAATAACGAAGTTATCATTAATCAGTGACTGGACCCTGGTTTGTGATAACTAAAATTTGAAGAAAGTGTCATTAGCTGATAAAGTTATCAACCACAACCATTTGTTTAAGCATTCCTGTGTCAGAACCATTGAAAATTTTCTGTGGAATGTGGGAAATTTATGAGGATCCATCTATATAAGTAATACTTCATATTTTTTCCCTTCAAAAATAGAATTGTAGTTACAGTAATTTTTGTAGGAAAGATGTTTGCATGAGAGAGGAATATGAGGCTACTTTACCATAAATTTACTGTCAGCTGCTGTTCACTTTCATCAGCATTGAACTAGGCAGTGTATACCAATGTTGTAACAGTTAATGTCACAGCTCTGACTCAGTCTTAAACATTCTTACGCATATTATTGGTATCTTTTCACTGTTATCAACATAATCCTTCCTTTTGGGATGAAACAGTGTAAGATGTAGGCTGTTCAAAGTTAAAGTCTGAATTATGGTACCCTTTTCCATAAAGTCTATAAAGAGCTCTCGTTCATTGTTCCTAAATACTGAAGTCACCCATTGCTTCCACCTGCAGAAGATTGTCTTTTGAAATACTATTTGCATGGTAGTAGTCTTATGGTACCATACAAGTAAAATGCCACATGGTTTTGGGGCCATAATGGTGAACTTGTGTCTTTTTACAATTTATGTTAATGGAAATGTCTTATTGTGTCATGTCAGAAGACTGTCACTTGGTTTTTGGGCTGTAATGGTAAACCCATGTTTTATCACAGTCTGTGATAATAACTGACAGAAAACCCTCATTTTCAGTTTCATGTTGTTCAAAGAGTTCTGTATAATTTAATTCTGTTTTACTTAAAACTTTGTTAACATCTTTTGATCCGCCATGCACAGATGTTGGAGTGTCTGAATTCCTCTGTTATGTATCTGGCTTTTGAATAGTCCACAGCCTCTTTCAAGTCCCATGTTGTAATTCAGTGGGCAGATTTAATGAGTGCAAAAATTTTGCTCCTGTTTTCTAGTGTCATTCCTGTTACAGGTCTTCTGCCACAATCGACAGTGTCAGATTTGTAGCACTTCAAACTCATGACCCAGTGTGAGACTTGGAGTTCTCACAGTGGTGAATGGGAATATTACTATCTTCTAAGATGTGACACCTTGTAGTCAGGTAGATATTTACCAAAGTTTTGGGGGAACCTCCCCTGAAGATGGAAGTAGTAGGTCATCAGAAACATTTATAAATATCTACCAGACTATGTGGCATCACATTCTAAAAGATGGTAAACTTCACTTGACCCAATCTGTAAACAAATGCTCACATGACTGATACAGTCATCATTAGGGACCGGATTTTTATGCCCTAATAATCCCAAATATGTAGGCATTTATGCATGAAAAACTTCCGAAATATGCACTAAAGTATGCACATAATAATTTATACCAAATATTAAAATTGATTTTACATTATTTTAAGACAAACCAATATTTAAGTTAATTTTATGTAATCACTGAATGATTCACTTGCAATAAAAAGCTATACTTAAATACAAATTATGCAACAAAGCCACCATATTTCATTACAAATTAAAAAAACCAATGGTACCCACATTTAGCTCTCCAAACTTTCAACTTCTCTTCTGTTGCAGTTCACAGTTACCAAATGTTCCAGGCTTTCCATAGTTAGTAGCCTCCTATTGTCTTGTAAGATGTCCTTATAGCAGGAAAATTTCCTTACACCTCACAGGAACTTAGGGACGCATGTAGAAAAGCCGCTATATGCTCCACTGTTAGTGATTTTTTACTTGGCAGTTAGAATGTTTACCGGCTAAAATTTCTTCAATTTCACAAATTTGTTCATATCCTGGATTTTTTTGAAAGAATGCTGTGTCCTTTTTCCTTTACTATTTCACCAACTCTTCCAGGAACTGAATTCAATTTGGAAACAGTGGTTTTGAACACACTTAACGACTGATCCAAAGTAGTATTGCTATTGCTTTCCTCCAGTGAGGAAATGGCGGATGGAACACGAGAGAAGTGAGCGGATATATAGGAAAGATTAGCTTCTAGTTCTGCATATTTTCGTACATCTTGGGCAATTTGAATTGATGCTGCACTTTTGGGACCAAATGTATTCATGACATTCCTGTTTCTAAATGTTCGGTATAATAACTCGCTGCACACCGCGTGCCCTAGAGCGTTAAAATTGGTTCTGGCGGAAGTGGAACGCTCGGTGCTACTGCTTTAAAGGATTCTTTTCTGTATGGTGCTTTAACAAATACCTTCTTCAGAGAAGACAACAACTTGTAAAGAAGCGGAAAATTTGCAAGAATTGTTTCTGCAACACAGTGCAACCCATGGGCAAGGCAAGTCAAATGTGTCATATTTGGAAATATAACTTTAAGAGCAGTACCAGCTATAACGTGCAGGATCAGTCACAAAGAGCAATACGTGCTCATACTGAATGCCATTCGGCCATAGCAAATTCATGGCATTGATAAAAAATTCGGAAACCGTGGAGCTATGGGTGGTTTCAAATTGCTCTACCGCAAGAAGATACGGGGTAGATTGTTCATTCTTATTAAGGGATCCAACTATACAATTTGCAATAAACCGTCACCACTAATATGAATGGCCCCCAGCTTCAAATGAAGAAGCGTAAACGCGTGTCCACATTACTCGTGCTCATGCTCATGCTCGCCAGGCTTGTGCTTGTCAGGAGACTCATCTGGCTTTTACTTGTGCTCGTAAATCTTCGTCCACACTACTTCAGTTCTCGCCAGGCTTCGGCACGTGAGGATCCATATATTTATTCATAGTGTATATAGGCTGTAGTCGTATTTTAATTTATTGGCTATAGTTTTTAAAATTTAAATTTAAAATTTGCTTGTCTCGTGATTTGTCATATCGTCCACATTACTCGCGAGCATAGCGAGTCACACGAGCACGAGTAACATGGACGCGCCTTAACGAACCTCATGGAGACTTCGGAAATAAATAAGTGAAGTCCCTTATTGGTGGAATAGTATTACGTTGATAGCAGCTACATGTGAACGCTTCCCACTAATCTCTTCGCGAACACTTTGACCGTATGCGGATTAGGCAAGTTACAAGAAGAGGGATACGGTAGTCTTGTCCTGGGTATTGCATCAGAAACATGAATCATGATGAAATGTTGAATCAAATATGCAACATATTCTAATATGGAAAAGAAAAATTGTATACACACGACCATGATTGAAAATTTGAACATAAAATTAAAAACTATATATGGTAAACATTTTAAAAAGGAAATATGCAGTATGAATAGAGGTCTTTGAAAATATGATGCTTATTCATAAAACAGGCAAAATACGCAATTATATGGACCATCAAACCATGTCCAAAATTTAAGAAATTAAGTAATTCATACATATATCCAAACAAGCATACTTTCTGGTTGCAAGAAAGAAATATGCATTTGCATTAAAATCTGGTCCCTAGTCATCATACTTACTTTTAAGACCATGTGAATTTCCATCGAAATGACTTATTCCTTGGTGGGAAATTCAGCACCAACTTGTTGTATAGTGTAGTATACACCCAGCAGTGCATCCATTTTGGAAGAGCAGGTTTTTGCTATTGAATGACCAATTTCACTGTCACTTACCTTCAGATTGATAAACTCAAAACTCGTTAAATTATTGTGCAGACTTCCCAAGTCACTGACCATTGTACCTGTAAAACAGCATATGCCTTGGCTCTTATACTGTTTTAGGGTGTAAAGTGATTTCTGTGTCAGCTATTTTACGTGTGCACATGCATGTGCTTGTAACAACTTGTAAACTGTTCTAAGTCATAAAATGAAGGGAAGTACTTCAGTTACCTTTGCAAATAATTATACTTGAATTTTTTGTAGTTATTATGCCATATGTTTTCTCTGGTAATATACATACGTATGCTTTGTCAGCATTACTTTTCTGGAATCAGAAATAGATATTTTTCTTCCATTCTGCAGTGTTTTCTTGCATAGTGATGTCTCAATAATCATATTCAATAAGCTGCTAAAATCTGAATTGACTTTTTCACTATCTTAAAACTTTGTTTTGCAGGCTTGCCATCACTGAGTACAAAACTTATACGTAAACCAAGTTTGGAAAGAGAGTTGAGTTTGCATCGTGGCAGTCCAGCATTGGATAGTGGTGCTGGAAGTTCACGATCTGATAGTCCTCGTCTGGCAGACCTTGTGTCACACCCTCAGCTCAGTCGGCAGTACTCCCCAAGCAGCTTTGCAGAACCTCCACCTCCTCCCCCTCCACGATGTAGCTCTACACCTCCTCCTCCTCCACCACCTCATGCTTCATATCCTACAGTCACTACCAATATGCAGCAGCTGTTGAAGCGCATGTCTCCTGCACCTGTGGTTCCGTCCCGACCCCCAGCAGCTCTCCCAGGGGGTGCAGGAAACAATCAGACTTGCCCGCAACCTGCCCAGCGTGGTACAAGCCCAGTTGCTTCTTCTGGTACCAGTATAGGAAACTCTTCATCTGGGCGGCAACCTATGATTGTACAGAATGGCCCACAAGTCCAGCAGCAGTTGTCACAACAGATGCAGGCTCTGAACTTGTACCAGAGCAATAGTGTAGCTAGTTCCACTTCCTCAGAGCCACCTCCTCCTTATCCCCTTGTTCCTGCTTCACCAACAGTTCCTCCTCCACCACCATCATATACAGTTTCTATTCAGAGTCGCCAAAGTCCCACACAATCACAGCAAGATTATCGGAAGAGCCCTTCATCTGGGATATACTCTGGTCCAACTTCAGCAGGTTCTCCAAGCCCCATAACTGTGTCTGTTGCAAGTCCCACTCCCACGTCTGTTGCTCGACCAACACCACTGCAAGCTTGGGGTGCACGTCAAGCAAAAACTCAGCCACCTATTATTATGCAGTCTGTTAAAAGTACCCAAGTTCAAAAACCTGTTCTACAAACAGCCATTGCACCCACTGCACCTCAGCCTATCCCACCTCCAGTCACAGTTTCAACCCAGTCTTCACCTCAGCCTCCACCTCCATCTTATGCATCCTCAATCCAGCAAAAGCAGCAGGTTCAGGCACCTCCATATCAGAAACAAACACCACCACCTGTGTTGCCTCAGCAAGCTTCAGTGTCACCAGTAACAACTTCAAGTCCAGTGACTGTTCCCACAACAGACCCTCCTAGTTATGCAAGTACCATGCAAGCCTTGGCTGTACAGAGAGGCATGGTCACCCCAGCTGTACATCTTCATCATCCTTTACCCCCACCACCATATGGACCAACTGGCGAAGATGGAATTCCTCAAATTTTAGGTGGTGCTCAGGTGGCTACAGTTGAAAGTGCAGTTGCACCAAGACCATCCCCTGTTGTTCAAGCAGCACCAACCCCCCACCTTCACCCACCACTGCAGAGGAAGTACTCCCCTGTAGTCACTGTAGACACCATGACCTCCCGTTCTGAGAGTCCAGTTTCAACATCATCATCTGACAGCAGAACAGTTCCACAGTCACCTACAGCTGGCATGTACGTGGCATCTTCAACGGAAAATACTGTTGGAGTACCACAGCAGACACCCCCTCTTCCTCCTATGGCTTCTTCATCTGTGGCTAATAAAAATAAAAATAATCAAGTTCCAACACAGAATGGTGGTGACAGGAGACCAAGTCACCCAGGGCCTACACCACCATCATATAAAATTAACCACCAGTCTCCAATTCCAGAAAGGAAACGTATGAGCAAAGAAAAAGAAGAAGAAAGAAGAGACTGTAAAGTACGTAATTATTCACCCCAAGCTTTCAAATTTTTTATGGAACAACATGTAGAAAATGTTATAAAATCACACAAGCAGCGAGTATTCAGACGTTTGCAGCTTGAGACAGAAATGGCAAAAATTGGTCTTAGTGCTGAAGCACAGTGCCAGATGCGGAAAATGCTTTCACAGAAAGAATCAAATTACATCCGTCTTAAACGAGCAAAAATGGACAAATCAATGTTCACTAAAATCAAGCCAATTGGTGTAGGTGCTTTTGGGGAAGTGGCACTTGTGCGGAAGATCGATACAAATCATCTTTATGCAATGAAGACTCTCCGCAAAGTAGATGTTCTGAAACGGAATCAGGTGGCTCATGTGAAAGCAGAAAGAGACATTCTTGCAGAGGCAGACAATGAGTGGGTTGTCAAACTTTACTATTCCTTCCAAGACAAAGACAACCTATACTTTGTTATGGACTACATCCCTGGAGGAGATCTTATGTCACTTCTCATCAAGTTAGGAGTATTTGAAGAACCACTTGCAAGGTATGTTTCCAGTATAATGCTTGTTAAAATAGTTTTATTAAAACAATGAATTTTTAGTAATAAAGTATTAGGTTGTAGTTTTGTTGTACAAAACTAATGGTTATCCTGAAATATTATTGATGTTAAATGTTCCAAAATATATGTTGGCAACATTTTTAAGATCTACATATTACATTTATTACTGGTGCTGCTCTGCCGCCGCNGGTTCGATCCCGGGTCTGGTCAAGTGGGATTTGTGGTGGACAAAGTGGCGCTGGGGCGGGTTTTCTCTGAGTACTTCGGTTTCCCCTGCCAATCTTCATTCCACCAAATTCTCCATCATCATAATCACCTGGGGCAGTCTACAGTAGGCCAATCAGTGGCCGCCATGCTGAGTGGACACATTTGGACTCCACCCCCCACTAAGCGAATTAGTATCAAATTTCATGAAAATCAGTTCAGTAGTTCTTTGGTTGTTTCATGCAAAGAAACAGATGTGTTGTAAATATGCCTAAAACATAGTCATTTTTGTTTTATGGGTATGTTTTATAAATGATTTGTGCTGAAGTGCTTTTGGAGGTACACTGTATTCTCTTATACAGTAGAATGTTCATGCCTTAAGTTTTTAACATTGAGGAAGTTTTATTTTCCATATTGAACTTTTTTTTTTTTTTTTTCTTTTTNAGTAATTCCTGTCTGAAAGTTTTTGTATGCAAAGGCGTTTTTCTAATTGCTTATGCTGCCTGTTACAAGCTAGAGCTTTCAAATAACAAAGTTCAATTCTAAATGAAGTCTGATTGCTTTCAATTTCCAGAATTCTGACATTTTAAAATCGAATCTTACAATTCTGTCATAAGGTTAACATAGGAGATGTGAGGATGTATTGTTGCATTTACAAGAAGCTGTAATATGGATCTGGCGAAACTTCTTAGGAGATTATAGTTTTATATCTGGAGAATATGTGATCCTCCAAGTTTTCTTGTTGTGCTGGTATACAGATGTCAAAACGCGGTACTACAAAAGCTCTGCCCACAAAAAATTTAGTTCGGTTTCTTTTGGGTACCCCATCATACTGATCGGCTCTATCAACTCCCTTCATGAACATATTATACTTGGAAATGCAAACAGGCTTCTTTACCTGTCCATGTCTCCTTTGAACATCAACCATGCTCGGATTGTGAATTGTGGATTTGGGTCTGATGGAATTTGCTTCACCCTTGGATTTCCAGTAAACTGTCCCAAAGCAGGCGTTTTGTCTACATTTCCCCATGTGGCTGTCGCTGCAATGTTGCTACCCACACTTTCGTCGGAGCTACTGTCACTTTCACTTTCACTGTCTGTGGCCACAATTTTTTGTTCGCCCCTGCCACACACACTATCAGATTGTGAGTCGTTATCACTAGCAGACTCACAAGGGACGTCAGGTAGCTCATCGGAGAACAAGTCAGATATTTCTTGTTCTCCAAGAAAACGCTTGGACCTCAACCTCTTCCGACCTTGATCCATTTTGCACTAGTAACTTCCTGCCTGGTGCATGCAGCTGGAAGATGAACAAAGACATTTTCTTTTGAAGTGGGAAAGGAAAACAGTTGGGTCATAAACAGCGGGGTCATGTTACTGACTATGAAGCAAATATTCAAGAGGTCTGTCACGCACCAGTCATGCGTCTGCCTGGCCCCAGTGCAAGGTATAGTGTGTTTCAACATAACGTGTCCTAAAATCATAATAATATGCCACCGGTCCACAAAGTGTTAAAATTTAGTTTGTTTTGAAATTTTCAAACCGGACTCTAGTGAATCCGGACTGATCGAAGTCTGACTGTGCGAGGTATTGCTGTATTTATTTTTTCATCCCAGATATGGTTAGTCTACCTGATGCTGACATAGGAATTGCTATTTAAATAGCATTAAAATTGGATGACATAAATTACATTGATCTATTTTTTATTATTTAAACAATATAAACAGAATTTGAGTCATGTAGGCATGGCTGCAAAGTTATTAATTTAGTGTGTGTATCTTGAATGAAGTCATATGTGACAAATACATTATTGTCTAGGTTCTACATAGCAGAATTGACTTGTGCTGTAGAAAGTGTTCATAAGATGGGATTCATCCATCGAGACATTAAGCCGGACAACATTCTTATTGATCGTGATGGGCACATCAAACTCACTGATTTTGGCCTCTGCACAGGATTTCGCTGGACGCACAATTCCAAGTACTACCAACGAAATGGTGAGAAAACTTACAATTCAGTAAGCTTCGAACAGACGTTCAGGTGGGATTAGAATTTTTAGACATACAGAACATAGTAACAGTAACTTTCTTGAGTAGGTTTAGAAAAGACTCTAATATTGCAGAATCCTGTTACACATCACTTAATTCATGTCACTGATTCAACTGTCTTATGCGCAACATGTCTTCCTGAAACTTATTTATAAGTTTCTCCACATAAGCTTGTAACAAATGGGTAGTTGGAAGTAAATTAGTGTACTGCTGTAGTTATGACAAATTTAAATGTGATGTACAAGGTCTGACAATAAAGTTCGCTAACTTGCCACCTTGTACTTACCATGGCAGCAGTCGACAGAAACCTCAGTATGGTGCAAATCATTTTAACACATTACTCAGTTCTTGGGCAGAGAAAGGATTAAAGCTCATTTTTCAAGGAAAACTGAACTGTGAAATCTGTCATTGCATTACTTTAAGACTTTGTATAAACATAAAGTATGTGTATGGCAGGTGAACATGGTCGTCAAGATTCAATGGATCCAGCTGAGGAATGGAGTAATGAATGCCGTTGCCATCAACTGAAGCCCCTAGAGCGAAGAAGGAGAAGGGAACATCAACGCTGTCTTGCACATTCTCTTGTTGGTACACCTAACTACATTGCACCAGAAGTCTTGCTACGTACAGGCTACACACAGTTGTGTGATTGGTGGAGTGTTGGAGTCATTTTGTATGAGATGCTTGTAGGTTCACCACCCTTCCTAGCTAGTACACCTGCAGAAACACAGTTCAAAGTAAGTTGATATTTTCCAATTAAATTTACAATCCTGAAAGTGATGGTAGTTGTACATTTCTGAATTTAACAGCCAGAATTCCAGTTCTGAAAACATACCAAAGGCTATTAACAATATTATATTTTAGCATCCCGTTGCATTTAGGCATCATTATTGTTATCAAAGTATCAATTAATAATTCAACTATATAAAAGACAGTAGGAATATGTTTCACACTAAAAAGTATTTCAGTACTTTTTAATGTTGTTAAAATCATTACATGTGAATAGGACACTAAAAGCATATTATATACATTAAAGGTGATTATCCAATTTCTAAAATTTCTCTAGTCATATATTTCTTCTACTTTACAACATGTTTTGGCTACATATGGGCCATCATCAGGTAATTTCTTTTCTTTCTGGGGAGACCACTGCACTGTATACTTGTTGACTGTGCTTCCATGCACGTCAGTATTTAGTTCTGTCTCATGATCAGAATGCCGTCATTGCAATCTATTGCGGCTTTTGTACTGCAATGTATAATGTTTATTAGTATAACTAGTATAAAAACTTTCATGATTTTTATCGTGTTATCATATATCAAATGTTGCGATTCTGTGTACTTATATTTTTGTGTGTCACACTGAGCCTACAAAAAAAAATCTGACTCCACAGTCATCATAACTGGGTCTTCAGGCACCTGTGGTTAGGGTTGCCAGATTTTGTAAAATAAAAAAAGGAGTGATGTCTCGTTGCTTGTTTATAACGACATTTTTCACAACTAATAGGCTATAAAATATACATAATCAACATACTACATAACTTACAAACTTATCAGCAACTAATATACGGAATGTGTTTTTCCACAGTTCATATTGGCATTGTCTGCACAATAAGAAGACACATAATTTACATCCAAGTTGTGCTTTTCTAAGCTCTGCAGCACCAAACCAGTAATTGCCGTAGACGTTTCCTCAGCACTTTCAACAAAATCTACAAGTTTATTCTGCACTCCCTTTAAAGGGTCGAAGTACCGGATGCAAACAGGGAACATTTTTTGATTGCTTCTGTTTGATGCATCAGTAGCGAACGAAAAAATTTTGAAGTATTTTCTGGACATCTTAAAATAGGCACAAAGTCATTTACACTTTTAGGAGCAAGAGCGTACTTCACTATCATTTCCGCTTTAGTGTGTCCACATGAAAGTTTGCAAGCAATTGCGGAATCACTGAAAATATGGGACACAAGTTTATTTCCGCAGTCCAGACTGGAATAACTTAAGTTGTGTTTCACTGCATGATACACTAAACCAAGTTCGCACCCGGTCCTGTTGTCATATTCTTCTTTATTGTTTAAATTAACAAAGTATTTCGAAAGTTTATTTGAACTTCCAGAATTACATTTTTCCTTAATTTTATGTTCCTTGTATTGTGTATGTTGCCTCAAGTCACTTTGTCCACCGTTCAAAATACTAAAATCCTTCCTACACAACGTACAAAATGCCCAGTTCTCATCTGGTCCCGGCTTAACCAACAAAAACATATCTTCCCATTTCTTAAGATATATTTGATTATGTTTGGCCTTGAATTTCAACTTCTTCCATGGAGGAGTCTTTGATAGATCTTCTTCACCCTCAAACATTTTTGCTAACTTGACACTGACTTTCTAGCGAAGATTGAATGGATTAAAAATACACTATCACCAACAACCTCTGCTTTGGTTTAGAACCTCAAGTGTTGCCAACATAACGAAAGAAACTATAACAATGTCATTTTCGAAGGATTACAGAAATTTTATGATAATATTGAACCCATGAAATATAATTCGCAATGGACTTAAATAAAAAAATGGAGAATTATCCACTCTGGGTAAACAATAAATGGAGGAACAAAATTTGGGTGAAAAAACAGAAGAATCCTGGGAAAATGGGGTATCTGGGAACCCTACCTGTGCTCCTACAGATTTCCAAATAATTGAGGCTTTAAATTAACAACTATACAACTTTATTGAACCGTCACAACACAACAAACAGAAAAAATCGAGGTCATTGCTCAGCTAGGGTTTGCTACATGTTTCAGCCACTAACGGCCATCATCAGGCAAACACATATTAACAAACATATACCATTAAACTGCAGTACATTAGGTTGGATACAACGTTATAAATCATTTAAAATACTTTGTGTAAAAATACAATAAGTCAGATATATAAAACTAAAAGTTATTGTAGAAAACAAGATAAAATTTAATTGATGTTATATAACATCTAATCAGTTGTTGATTTATTACTTTTCATATGTTTCCATGGACAAATTGGAAATTCGATATTCCTTTTATATAAGAATGTATAGGAGGCCCATGATGTTGCAAATAAATTAATTGTATTGTCAGTGCCTCATCTTACGAAGAATTGTCCATACTGTATGGAAAGTAAACAACGAGTAAGTTTCATATGATAATATGGGGAATGTAGTTCAGGTGATGATAGTGACTTCGATTATGATTACATGTAATTAGTGCCACCTGGAAGACATACAGTTGGCAACAGTGACAGTGAAGATGAGAGTGATGGATGAAGAATTGTGATGTGTAGATGAGCAATGCATGGACTGGGAGGGGTGACAACAAAATTTGTGTGACAGTTCATCAGCACCTTCTTCTACAGGAAACATTTTGTCGTATCCATGCCTCACCATTTAATATATCTAATTTGGATATAGTGAAGCTATTTTAAAACATTTTTTACATAGCATTAGATATTTACCACTGCCACTGGGTGAAAACCCATTTGCAGTTTAATAAAAGTAATGTAGCTAATATAAATTAAACACACAAACATGCACAGCAGAAAATTTTGCAAAGTACTAGTACTTTAGCACTTTTTTGTAGAATCAGGAAGTGGAGAATATTTTTGTAGTTTACGCAGATGGCATGAGTCTGAAAAATCAGTATGTGAGTGTAGATACTAACAAAACTAGCACTGGTCATCAGACTAATGGAACATTATTCTGTTTGTGGCTATGTTCTCTGGATGGACAGTTTTTATAATTGTTCAGAATTGGCTTTATTCTTGAAGTCCAAAAAAATACAGACTGTATAGGTACTTTGTGTGCTAAGAGGAAAAATGTCCCTCTCTTGTTAAAAGATAAAAAGCTGCAGGTGACAGAGCACTTCAAAGCTTTCAGAGGGTGTAGGACTATGGACTTGCCACGGTAAAAAGAACGTAACCATGATTTCTGTGTCACAAAGATGAAATGCACTAAGGAAGAAACAAGGCCTACAGTTGTCTTGTGACTGTGATGTGATGTTAGAGGCAGCAGTTCTCGGTAGTCAGATGCTGCAGTCATGTTTGCATCCATGCTGAACAATTAGGGAACAGGCTGCTGCTGATAATGTAACCATTTAAGACCAACAATTAAAGGGTTATACAAGGCATAGATGAGTGCACTGTTTTGCTGGTTATATTGAAGGATTAAGATCTTACTGTTTCACCTCAAAATGATACGAGTAAAATGGGAAACTTTACAAAAAGGGGCATGAAACAGGATTTGAAGTTCTCACAGCTTTGATTATGAAGAATTATATCTTCTAGGATATAGTCCCATTTAATCTTCTAAAAATCAACTGAAAACTTGAATGATCATGTTATCTGCTCCCTACAGATGGAGGTGACATGTTCCACCAAAACATTAGTTTACTCTCAGCAGACAACATGGCATTATATCCCAGAAGATAGAATTGTTCAATGGAATTTATAGATTCTCTGCACTCCATTATGAAGTACATGATTCACCTTGTTTATTAATTTGCCTTTCCTAACTTGATTCCATTATCCATGTAAAAGATGAGAACTTCCTAGCCATATAATCAAATTCGCCCATTCTTTATCTTATTTAAGAAAAGAGGGACCATACTTTATTATAGTAACTGGAACATTGAAATACCCTGCAGCAATAACCACTGGTTCCCTTTGAAGTTAATTGAAATCAGTAAACCGCTATATATCTGCATATTGTCATTTGTTTTTATGAGTTAAGGAAATACTTGCTTTATATCCAGTATGAGCCTTAAAATGTGTATGCTACATTCTGATAAGTTGTTGGACAAGTATGAAGATGACGGAAGTGTGAATTGTATTTATGTAAATGAATCCGTGTCATAGGTTATCCATTGGGAGACGACACTTCGCATCCCTGAAGCAGCTAATTTATCCCCTGAGGGAATGGACCTTATCCTCAAGCTTTGTACTGGAGCAGACAGAAGGATAGGGAAGAATGCAGCGGAAGTGAAAACTCATCCATTTTTCAGCAGTGTAGACTTTGACAGAGGATTTCGTCGTCAGGTGGCTCCCCACATACCTCGAATCCAGTATCCGACTGATACATCTAATTTTGATCCAGTTGATCCTGAAAGGCTTAGGAATTCAGGATCATCAGGATCAGATAAATCAGATGAATTATTGGACAATGGGAAACCTTTCCATGGATTTTTTGAATTTACTTTTCGGAGATTTTTCGATGATGGAGGTGGTCCTGCATATCCAAGTAAGATCAGTTTAGATGACAATGACAACCAAGGACCTGTTTATGTATGACATGAAATGGTGGGAGGAAAATCCTGGTGAAGATCTGTCAAATGCTGTGGTAAGATTATTTCAAGAAATTGTTGTATTGGTAAGTCAGAAGATCATATTATTTTAAGATCATACCTGGTGCAATCAGCCAGCTTCTATAAAAGTGTTTCCCGGTTCGGTCAGTAAGGGCAGTGTGATAAATTGATGCATAATGTTGTTGAATATGTGATACCCTTTTGATTTGTTAATGTTCTCTTGAAACATACATAGTATGAAAAACAGATTGTAGTCATCTGCAACTGTTCAAACCATAGTAGCCATATTTTTTATAGATATGCCAGGAACAAAAAGACATCAGTTTGTGACTCTGTTATGAGTTTGGAATGTGCATAGTATTATGTATGCAGTTTATGTGTCATAACTGAATTGTAAAAGCTGGTGACCCTACAGTTAATGAACATTAGGTTCCGTAAAAGGCAGGGAATTTCTTGACTAGCCAAGTGAGTATTTGCTTCACACAAATGTCTTTATTCTATGGAGTTCAGTTAAGTGTACAGAGCAACATAAGTCAACACAAGCAACAGAAGTGAAAGAATGTTATGGTGCTGTTACTCATAGTCCCTCCCATGAATTTTGTAATATTATACTGCCATTCATAAGTAAAACCCTAAATAATATTGCAGTTGGTAACTTAGTTTCATGCCATGATGCTTATTTAACATTAATTGCCAGTGTTTTGTGTAGAGAGCATATTTACTACTGTCATAAAATGATGGATCTGTAAATTGCTCTTCTGTAGGAATGTGTAATATGTGATGAGAAATATTTATTGAAAAAGTGAGATATTAGTCACAAAGTGGCTTATTAAAAATGTGAAATAAAAATATGATAAATTATATTTCTCTCTGACTGGAAAACATGCTGGAAGATGGTGTACTGGTTGATTCACATTGAATATTTAATGTAACGTAAGGCTTACTGTCATATATTCATAATGAATAATTGCTTTTGCTGTTCATGTTAACAGCTTCTGCCAGTACTGTTACATGAACAGTAAGTACTATTACATGAAACTTAATTCAATTCTCATAGTATATAGTTTTATTTATGTATGTAAAATTTGTAATGAAAATCTTGCTCTTGGTTTGTGGAAAGGAACTCCAATCCCAGTGAATAAGGGCCCAATTTTGTTTATGTTATTACAGTAAGCAATATCAGAGCGCTTGTAATTATACTTTAGTCTTGCAAAAAGATTCTTATCACTCCTATTGATTAACTGAAGTATGCAACTGTGGTTTTAATTTTCCAGAAATATCATCTTAATTATATATATAATTATTGGAAGTATGTTAAAGAACAGTGATTGCACTGTTGAAATTTGAAATAGTAATTGTTCAAAGTGCTGTTTCCACAATTCTTGTTACATTTTGAATGTGAATCCACCTTATTAATGTTAATATATGTTTTGTTGGTCAGAGTGGTAATAATGAGGGTTCTCAGTTTTATTTTTGAACATTTAAAATATCTCTATATTCACTATTTAGTATGTGAATTGTGTGTGATTACAAAACTTTTGTAATAAGAAGGTAAAAGGGAAATATTCTAAAAGTAAATTTCAAAACAAATGAATATCATATGATGTCTTGTATTAGGAATATAATTCATTTGTGATTGTCTTATGTGGTATTGTCATACAGTGCTTTATTTCATCTGAAGCTGTGCCTTAAATGTTTCTTTTTAATATTATCCAAAGTGTAACAAGATTTACTGAAATTTATATATGAAAATGTAAATCTTTTTGAGGGAATATGTTTCCAAGAGTGGGATGGTTACAAAAACATAACAACTTTTAAATTCCTTTTAGTTGTAACCAGAGTAATCTGTTACCAGTAAAACAGTGTATTTGTAAAGTAACATGTTAAATTGGCAATCACAGTGTCTTGTAAACATTTCTATTTTTGTTGTATTATATTGGTAAAACATTATAAAATCAGAATGTTTGCAAATACATAGATTCATATTTATAGGAGAAAAATTTTAGGGTAAGTACGAGGTCTAACCAAAAAGTATTAATCTGTGAAGACTGAGATGTTGTACTTACAGGTGATTAATTATGTTCGAAGTATCTTCCTTCAGCACATAGACAATTCCCATTCCTGGCATGCTAGAAGCATCATTTTACATCTGGTCTGTTGAATTGTGTTCAGTTGTTTCCACATCATCAAATCTTTTTATCATTCATAAGTTTTTTTGTTTTATTGGACAGAAAAGAGACACAGGTGAATAGGAAGGCTGTCTTGTTTGCAAAATAAAAGGTAAAAGTTGTGGTTCTTTCCTGCTCTTGTTTTAGCAGTTGTGGAGTGAACCTTGCTGGGATATGCCACATTCCAAAATCTTTGGTTAAAATTGCCTGGAGCCATAATGATTCCTGCCTCATCAGTCATTTCACAAAATGTCAGTCTTTTATCTGCCATTTGATATTGAGAAATGCATTTGGGCTACTGATTCACAATTTGTACTGAGTGAACAGCTTCCCATAAGCTTATGACTTCTGATGGACATTGTTCCTCTTTTAAACAATGGAGGCATTCAGAAACTTGTGCTGGGCTTACTGTTGGGTATAAAAATGCTGTTTACATCAGTCAGGAAGTTTAATGTCCTAGTTTTCTGGTCTTTGTGCAGAATTTAGTGTGTACAGATTTTTCTGTGCTGTCAGACATTGTAGGAATTGATACATGACTTTAAATACCAACCACAGTAGCTCAGTCAGCATAGTGATTAGTCTGTGGGCTCAACAGCAGGAGAATTAGGGTTCATTTCCCATTTTGGCAGATATTCTTCTCTTCACTGTCGTATCCAGATGAGCTTTGGGTCTACCCATTCTCCTATCCAGTGGGTACCAAGGGCTGTTTCCACGGGGGTGAAGTGGCTGTAGTGTGAAGCTGACTGTTCACCTCTGTCAAGAGCTGAGGTTAGAAATGTGTGGAGCTGTACCTCCATCCTCCCAGTATGTTTTTGTGGTGCAGTGTTTAATTAATCACGTGCAGGAACAACTTTACCTTCATCACAAATGGTTAAATCACTGGAACACACAGGGACATGAAGTAGACCAAGGGCTTTATAATCTTAGGATTAGGGATCTAAGAGCTTTGTTTGTTATAAGCGTAACAGAACTAAAGTGATTGAAACACCAAACCAACAATTTTACTTGTCACTGAAGAGTTGTGGTATTACTGTTCAACAGTATGGTTGTTTAGTGTACCTGATATTAAAATGCTAGTGCTAGGTAGAAGTGATTGTAACCAGCTTACCAATATTATTCTGAAAAGTGGAAAACTTACAAGTCACTTGGTGATTTCCAGTGGAAGCAGTGAGATGCTTTTAAGCTTAAATCTCATTTTCAGTTTCAGTGGACTCTATTAAGTTGTATTCAACTGTCTCTTATTGTTGTTATTTATTAACCACAGTGCCGTTCTCACCATATGCTGGATGTCAGATCAGTTAGTGAACAAAGTGTTCTGTGAGTACCATGTAGTCATCTCCAAAGCTGTATATGTCATTCTTTTTTATGACCTGTCAAACTAGGTGGTATGCTGTTATTTGCATTATCAGTTTTGGTGAGTAGTAATATGAGTTCTAAAATTAAAATTAAAGTTATGTTAGAACTGATACCGAGCTTAATAATCGAATATATTATTTTATAAAATTGGGTCTCTTTCCTCTTTATTTAAGATTTGTGGTCACTGACAGATCAGTATTCTGGTTTTGGAATTTGTGTATTTTTTCTTTTGATGCAGCTTTGTATTTATGTCTGGAATGTGTTGGTTATTGGTGTTTGGTATTATTTGTAATTAATACATACATACATATATATATATACTACTCCCTTCTAGATTTTGTCTTTATGGAGCATGGATCAGGATTGTGGAACAGTTACAAATAATTTATGTTTATACGAGCTGTGTGCGGATAAGTGAGCTGCTGTAAGCTGATGTAATTTTTCAAATATTGGATTGTGATTATTGTTATTGTTCATATGAAAGGACTGCTGATTAGATAAATGTGATAATTTCTAGATTATTTGGGGTGTTTCCTTTCCTTGCCACTTCTTTGTTGTCCGTGGTATCAGTTACTTTGTCATGTGTGTGTCCTTAATTTTAATACCTGGCTGGAGTATCCTAAACTTCCATTGTTGGATATTGGTTGAATATGTTCTCTAAGTCTTATGTTGAAGCTTCATCCTCTTTGATATATTTATTTGGGCAGTCTGAGCATTTAGGCAGTGCATACCACTTTGACTCTATTCTGATCTTGGTGGTTTTTGGTTTCATGGTATTTGCTGTGCAATTCTTAATTTGATGTTAGTATCATGGAATAATATTGTAATTTTTCTTACTTTCCTGGGGTACGCAAGTCTCACCTCATTACAGTCTCAAATATTTTAGTATTAAGCACATCAGTTAATCTTCATCTTTAATTTCAGTTCTAAGCTCATATATTTTTGTACTAAAAATAAAATTGGCTGTGCCATAAGGGTGTACCAAGCTGCATGATAAGACATGCAGTGTATGTAACCATGACTGCATGGTAGTCAGAACTTATAAGTTTATTAACTGGATGACTTTGTGTCCCATATGTGGTGAGAATAACATTGTGGTCAATAAATAGTTACAAGAAATGAACATCATCACTGGTGTATTTTGTATAAATGGCAGTTACGTATAGCCATTCACCTAAACATAACAGGATGCTATAATGTAGAACAAGGAACAACAATGAACTGTGTTTCATTATGTAATGCAGAATTGTGGCTTTTATCTTTATAGCTTTAAACTAATGTACCTCCAGAAAAGTTGCAGTTATGTTTAAATACGTGAAATCGTTTGGTGGTTTAAAATATAGGTCATTTTTCATATGTGTCTTGTGATTTGTTGTAATCCATGTAATAGTATGTTGCAAATTTATGCTAAGACAGAAATTTGTAATATGCAATCATATTCATGGAATAAAGGAAAACCGCCTAATATGGGGAGGTGTTTCTTTCAGGCTTAATGCTAGGACAAGATGGATTTTTACATATGTACAAATGGCAGTGATATATTATTAATTAAACACTTATATGAGGAATGTCTGAATAGCTGGTTCAAAAGTAACATTTGAAGAAATACTCCCAAAGTAAAAAGGAAAGAAAGAAACCAGTCTCTCCATGTTAGGCCACCAGCGTTCCCAGTGTGATGAGGTTATAATACTGCGTGGTAGATACATTTTCTTCATTGGAACAGTCAGATGTTCCAAAAGCATATATTTTATGAACTTGTAAGGTTTTAAATATAATCCTTAATCCTTTAAAGCACGGTGATTACTGTATACCACGTACTTTAACATAAAGGATCCCAACATTTTGCCCACAGAGTGCATTTATGGGTTTCATATGATTCTAAAAATAAACGGTGATTTTTACCCTATGTGGCATTAACTGATTGGTCATTGTAATGGAGGCACATTATGTTTTCTGTGAGGTAGGAACTGAATTTATTTATTATTTCAATATACGGGCTCCAAAGGATGTGTCTAAATTCTGTAAATTTATCAACAAAGGAAGGACTAATTTCAGTGCTTTACAGCTTGTCAGCAATAGAATAGTAAGAAAAAGATAAGTGGAGAAAATGTAATAAACTGGAAATGAAACAAAATGTAAATGTTACAGGGATAGTTTCTGTGGTACAGAGTGGCTTCTGTTATTTTGAAGAGTAGTGCTGATGTAGACAGATCCCTTGCTCTGAATCTTTGCAAAGTGTGTCATGCAGACTGTGCAGCAGACCCATTCTTCATCTTCTGGACCCTCCAAGAATAGGCTGGAGCTTTCTCATCAACATTATCTGATAAAGAGTTTCTGATTTGCAGAGATACATGACCATTTCTGCCTAAGAACCTGAAGAGCTCCTGTCCACTGCATCTGATTCTTGATCATCCATCGTAATGAAGGGGAGTAGTATTGTGGATAGTTAGAAACATTGGATGATCCCCAAATACAAGATAAGTTCTGAGAAAGCAAGGATCATCATACATTCACATACTTAGGAAATGACACCCTGGAGTCACTGTTTTAATGTTACCATTAGTATGCTGCAAATAATTTTTTAGGCTGGTTAATGTACTGGTGTTATAGCATTGTCTCAGTTCAGGGTCAAGGAAGTGTGTATACTATTAACTCTAATAATCCATGACTGAAATGTAGGCATACTGATGGGTGTGATGCAGAGATTTTTATTTTTAGTGGTAGAGTGCAGAGCATGTTACACTATCCGTTTTCCTCCCAAGCCCCCTTCTTTAGAACACCAAGTTAAATGATATGGGCAATGAACAGTCTGGTGTTAGAGTGACAGGTTTTTGCCATTGCATGTTGAAACAAATAGAAGGACTGATCTCCTGCTTCCAGAGTGAAATATTGCTAGAGCATAGAAGAGACCTGACAACTGGGGATACCATTGAAGATACCACTCTTGTTGGTTTTAGAAAACAGTTTTTGTGTTCCATTTCTCTGTGCCAATTGACAAGCTAAATGACACACAGGTTGCGCCCCCCCCCTCCCCGCACAGAATTGCCAGTAAACTCAGCGTGTCTGTTGGCTGTTGTTTGGGGTACTCAGACTAAGATTGATATAAATTTTAATCACTGGATTTTGATTTAAATGTTATACATCCTACAAACAAACTGATTTGTTTTAGGGTGGTAAATATTTGATATACTTTTAAATAAATTAAATCTTATTTTCCAATCAGAGTAATGCTTCAAAGTCCATTATGTAGTTTTGTGAGTTCTACATACAGTAGCAAAATGTGTCTCGTCATGCTGGAATTCTAGCTAAAGAGGTATGACCATTAATGATAATGAGTGGCAAGTACTGTGTGTTGCAATCCACTAAACCAGTCAGTAAAGCATGAATGTTAAATTGTGATCTTAGACGGTGATGTTTCATATTTTGAAAGAAATGTCTTAGTGAATGACAAACTATCATCAGATTCATTCCATGACACAACTCGTTTATGGACAAAATTTGTTTCTGTAAATGAGAAGTAACAAGTGTTTAGTCTTGTTCATAAAAGTATTGTAACTTTAATTTAATAATTTCGCTTTGTCATTTTTTCAACAAAAACATTTATGGTTTTTTACTTTAGAAGATCATCTGTTTACTTTAGAAGATCTTCTGTCACTTCTCATTTATTGTCAGAATCTTTCATTTGATAATAAAAAGCAAACTATATTAGTATCTGAAGGGTTTTTTCTTCTGGGATATTTTCCTCTGAAATTTTGGATGACTTTCTCCAGATGACACTGTGTTGTGGCCCAGAAGATATAACTCTTCAGAGTCACTACTGCAAGAACCTCAGATCATGTATTAGTATCTTTTATCCCAATCACCTTTTATTGAATGACTTTTCATGTGTTTTGGAGAAGTTGAGACTTAAGTAAACTAACCACAATACGTTCGATACAGTCTGAACATAAATGGCAAATTTAGAAATTGTTGAGTTTGTAATTGACTGGTGTAAAACAATAGTGGGACCAACAAATTGGTGTCTTTGCACATATTAAAATACGCCTTTTATAGAGAGGAAATGTAATCACATGTTTCTGGTAGGTAATGAAAGCCTATTTGTGGCTGGGAACCTTTTTGGTTTATAATGAGGATTTCATTGTATTCATAGTAATTCAGATTGTGTTGAGATTACAAGTGCTATGTTGAGCAAGGTTTCAAGTTTGCAATATGTGTATACATTTTCTTCAGAAATACCTTAAATATGGTGTGTTTTCCAGCCAAGTGAAATTGAGAATATCGAGCATATGTATTGTGACTAAACACGATCAGGCTATAATGTAGGTAGGTTAGGATAGGTATAAGATGAAACCCCAATGGAAGAGGATTTTGTAAACAATATTTGATTCAGGAACCGGTTGCTTACATTTTATGTACTGTCATCCAGAAAAGATACCCTGGATTACACAAACTACATCTCATTAATGCTGATATTCTTGGTCCATGAGTACTTTATATACTCCTTGCATATATTTAAACAAATGATGTATGGAACTAACTTCAGTCTGGATTATATACATAAATACTCCTCATTTTAGTTTGTTTAGTATTATACATTTGATGTACATAATATACAGGGAATATTTAAGACCAGTGATTGAAAATACAACATAAATATATGTGTAGTCATGAAACTGGTTAAGCCCAAACCAACGGTTGTTTCATAAATTATGATGTAAATTGCAACAGCTTTTTGTTTTGTGCAATATTTAATGATGTCATATCAGCAACAGAAGAAGTAAAGACCTGAGAATGTTTATCTATAATACATGTATCATATTAACTACCAGAAGTGCCTTACAAAATGTACATAAAGTTCTAATGCTGGATTTTATTTCCTCTTAGTGGTGACTGGGTTGTGATGCCATGTAGTATGATAGCAGGTTATGCTCGTTTCAAGGCATGTCATGAAACTGCAACAAGACTACACAGCATCACATCCTAGAAGATAGTACTCCTCAAAGTTTTTACTTTTTATCTTCAAAACATTTAATTCATAGATGGCAAGGAGAACTGAACTCACATTCTTACAAGACAAGGAAATGCAACCACAGCAGTATTTGCCCATGTACTTATCAGCAAGTCTAGTGACCTTTTCTTTCACACTGAAATATACACTTTGAATGATTTGAACTGCTAAAGGCTTGTGATTAGACAGATTTCATTGGGATTGGTAGTCAGTATTGATAATGGTGGTGGTAGTGGTGATGATGGTGACAACAGCAACAGCAATGCTTCTGAATTGTGTCTGGGATGTTCTCAGTTTGAACCTTGGCTGGGAGATTGACTGTCTTGACTGAGGTTTATTGTGGTTTCTTCAGTTCCTCCAGGAAAATTTTAGGATAATACCTCAAATTAGACCATGAGTGCATCCTTCCTCATCGTTTAAAATTCATTGTTCACTAATCATCCTGCCATTTGACACTGTATAGTTTGAGATACAGCATCATAAACTGATAATGCACAATTATAACTTTGTTATTATAGATTCAGTAAATGAATGATAAATGCATTGGCATGTTCACTTTGTTGCAGAACACTCCTGAGAAATTGTAGCATTGCTGTCATACAGTTACATGGAAGTTAAAGAGTTCTGTTTGGTAGGTATGTGAGGAAACAGTTATTACTTATAAATTTGTAATTGACTTTGCCAACATGCTATTAGATTCTTAGTAGACGAGGTTTCAAATACTGTGGCTGTAATAGAGTTCTTATCGACAAGAAATTTTGCTCTTGTGAATCTTGTTAACATTATTAAATGGAAACTGTGGTTATGTGATTGGAGAAATTGAGTTTACTGAGAGTAGGGTAGTTGCGATGGATCCTTTTGGAAATAAATCCGTGGCCGTTTCTTGTGTTGCTGTTATGGTATAGTGCCTGTGCTGTGAGTCAATATATTGTTTCTACAAATACAGAAGGCTCCTGTAGGTACCTTCACTGAGTTAAATCATACTTTTACAGGTTTGTATCATTCAGAATTACTGTATGTAGCTTTGAAAACTTTGCAGTATGTTGACTGAAGTAGAAACATAGATACTTTTATATCATGAATCAGTTGTATCCGTTGTATGTGGGAAAGAAACAGAATAGCTGTTAAAATAAGCTCTAAAGTCACCATCTGAGTGTATGTAATTTATTTTCATGTGCTGATTAAATGCTATAAATCACATACATGTTTCGGTCATAAATGACCATCTTAAAGGGGGATACCAGATATTAAAGAAAATCTTACAATTTGTATGTATAAATAAAATATTTACAATGTCAAAAACATCATTAAAAAGAATAGAAAGTATATCAGCAAAATGAACCCTATCAAAATAAAAAGTGACCGAAGTTGTGTATAAACAAAAAGTACATTGGAAAAGCATGCTTTGACAGTTAAGTCCTCTCACACCATATGGCTTCGATGCAGTTTTGTCCAACAGGCCTTCTTCACAGCCAGTAAATAAATATAATCGTTTATGTTTATATGTAGACACATTTTGATGCTCAAATTATTTTTGGAATCATCTTTAGTTAAGATGATATAATTACTTATATAGTGGCTTATAATTACAACTGTTAGATTTCATACATACACACATGAACATGCTCATGTGCATGCTCTGGTGGTAGCACAATGAGGTAAGTGTGAGTAATTATGGTTGAACTGGAAGGGGCATAATAGTATAAAAGTGAACAAGGTAAGAATATCATAGCTAATTTTAATGATAAAACACTTCTTACATAGTAGGAAAGTGTTGATATTGATTCAGTGCTATTGTTTTAATCGTAATGTAACCTTTCCCCCCCCCCTTGGCGCTGCAGCCCCAGTGGGCCTAGGCCTACCTCCATGAACTTCTCCGTTCACTTCGGTTTTTCTAGATCTTACACATATGGTAGGACTCCTTAGGCGGGTGATCAGCTCGTTGCAAGGCCTGTACTTGTAGACAAACACAGGAAAATGCACACAAACATCCATACCCTGAATGGGATTCGAACCCACGATCTTGGCTTCCGAGCGAGTGAAGACAGTGCATGCCTTAGACCGCTCGGCTACCGTGACCGGCTAATGTAACCTATACAGCCTGATATATTGATGTGCTATTATTTTACCTTATTTTATATTTCTAGGTATGCATAAAACAACAGCTGTTTTAACTTAAAACATGCTGGTGCATGTGCACACATGTGTGCGTGTATGATTTATGTGCATGTAATCTGACAGCTGTAATTATGAATCAAGTGTGAACACTAATCATATGGGAGCAATGAGGCTGTTACTTTGAGGATTAAAACATGTTTGTCTATATACAGACTTTTAGTAAATGATTACATTTATTGTTCTGATATGACAAGGGCTTGTTGAACAAAAGTTTTCTGTATACTTCACCACTTTACATTTATAATATCCATAGATGGAACCTGAAATTCCCTCAGTTAAATTGATTTTGATCAATTTAAAAAATGTCATATCATGCAGGGAGCACAAAGTGGTTATCTTTCCAGGTTATACTCTTCTCCAGGCAGTTGGTTGTTTTTGTACTGACAGTTTCTTAATATTTTAAGATTTATGGCTATGGGACTGAATCTGAGATGCTTTACTACATTACTACTAAACCATCAGGTTACCCAGGAAGGGTTATTGTTATAACTCGTTTGGTTACTTCAGTTCAGTAGTAAAGGGTACCAGAAGGAAACTGTCTTGTAGCAGAAGGAGCACCCATGATTAACACAAGTGTTGCAACAACCCATTGATGCAATATAGTCTTTATACAGAGTCATTAAATAACTTATTAAAGACACTGAAAAGCAAGGACTGTTCAGGACAACCCTTGTAGTCTAGTGGTTACTGTAGTAACATAGTATTCATGAGTTCCTGGCTTGATTCTAACCATTAACCACATCGAACAATAAAAGATCTATTACTAAAGTCAGAAGCACATGCCTGAAATGGGAGTGCAGCCAGTTCCCAAAACATTTTGTTAAATCATATATTCCCTATACAACGGACAGTGTCCAACACAATATGCATATAATGAATCAAACGTTGTTACAGACTTTTAGAGAATTACTGTTTTCTATTTTTCGTGAAAGTAATGTTTCATGTAAAGGGCTTTTACGTGTTGATGTAGGCACAGTAATAAGTCACACAAATTCTTATTGCAAATAAATTTTACTTGTCAACTTCGTTTTGAGGGACATATGGCAAGAGAAGTTTCACAGTTTTAGACTCCCTTGAATACAACAGAGAACTCTAAAAAAAATGGTAATTTGTTTGGCACCGAATATTTTCTTCTCTAAACACATGGCTTCAAAATAGGTTTTGTCCCTTTATTATCTGTTTCGTTAGTATATATGTTACATACAATTTTATTTATACAAATATATTATGACATACTAATTTTCTTTTGGGATTACATATGCACGAGATACACTACGGAATTGTTCCCAACATAGAGAAACGGTAGGATTAAGTACATTCTCTTAAAAATCTGAGTGGATAAAGTATGTGGAACATCAGTAGCTATCAAACATGTTGTTGTACCATGCATAATATATTTTTTTTTAAAATTATTGTTAGCATGCATACATACATGCAGGAGAGTTATTTGAGTTGGGAATGCTTTGGTGACTCAGGTGAGAGGAATATGGGCTTCATACACCATCTTGCATTATGTGCATTTGGGCTCAAGGCCAGCAGTAGTCAATGGGCCTCTAAGTAACAAATAACAGAAACACATTTGGATCACATCATATGCAAGAAGTAGCCCGTGCTGTTATGCAGACATTTCTTATATCTCCATAAAATGTTCACATTCATGCTTTCAAGTTCCCTCTTGAAAGTGGAGCAAACATTAAACCCAGGTCTCCTGCAGGGACCATTTTACACCAAACCAGTCCAGTCACATTTGATACAAATTTGGCAAACTGAATCCATATGTAGGATTTGAGGTTCTTGCAGTGGTGGTTATGGATGGTTCTGCCTTGTGCAATATAACACCGTGTAGTCTGTTGAAAGTCAACTGACAGTTTGGAGAAACATGTTGCCTGCATCTTCAGGGTTGAAGCATAGGCCAAGCAAGAAACCAGCATGGAGGAGGTAGCAAGTTTGGCTTATTCTTTGACCTTGAAGATGGAGGCTAGATGTTGCTCTGAAATTTCAGTTGACTTTAAGCAGACTACATGGAATTATATCCAATATGATGGAACTGTTCTGAGTCTGTGTGTTTGTAGTAGAAATATGATGTTTTATTTCACACTCTTTTGTCAAGACCAGTCATATCATTGACTTGAGAGATTGGATTTTTTCAATTTGCTCTTCATATGTCATCAGTGTTGGAAACATGGATATTGACTACTTAATTATTTTAATATGCACTGGTCAAGAAATTTACAATGCCATACAATATAAATGTGCACTCATGTAAAAATAGTTTTAGAATTGAGGGAAGGTTGTTCAGTAGGTCCTTAGGTTGGTGGTTTTCACATTTATTGGATGGATCCATAAACTTCTGAATCCTTGCATTTACCATATTATTATTATTATTATTATNGGTGGACTTGATGTGGCTGAACCAGGCTGGACTGGTTTGTTGTTGTGAATTGGCCCTGAGAGATTATCAAGAGGACTGTTCAGATCTAGCACCAATTTCATTCAGTTTCTCTTCATTTAGGGCTTAACATTTTGATTCAGTTCTTTTCCATCTTCCTCCTTTTTAAAAAGTTTTTTATTTGAAACTGTAACATTCTGAAGTTTATGTCAAAATATTTTCTTGCTCGTCATATTGGTATCATGCATGAAATCACATGTTTCACTGTGTAACTCTCATATGACATTTTTTGCAGAAG